GAGAGAGAGAGAGAGAGAGAGAGAGAGAGAGAGAGAGAGAGAGAATGGGGGGGGGTGTTCAGGCATTTCAGGCATGTGCACGCCGCATCAGTGTGGACCAGGAGGGCAATGGCAGCAGGTTTCTCCCTCCACTGTGGACCCAATTCAGACGATCAGGCTTGCGCTGTAAGCACTCAACCTGCTAAGCCATTTTACCAGCCCACGGTAGCCAGTTTTCCTTCTCTTTGGCCCTAACTTCTAATCACCCTCCTCAGAAACTATTTGTGCAGATGAAAATATTAATTCCCAATCTGGCTGTGGTGGCACATGCCTTTAATCCCAGCACTCTCAGGGGGATCTCTGTTAGTATAAAGCCAACCTGGTCTACATAGTGAGTTTTAAATCAGCCAGGGCTACACAGAGAAACCTTGTCTCAAAAACAAAACAAAAAGCCAAACCAAACCAAAATCCCTGGTACAAATACCCATTTTTCTCATGATCTCTAAGCTGTACCCCAACAATGCAGGGAGGAATGCCTCTGCCCCCATTTCACCCATGAAGCAGCTGAGAGAGCCGGGTTCAAAGTCTTACTGAGCATCTGCACTCAAGGCCCGGTCCCTAGCATGTCAATACCGCCCCCCCCCCACTTCCTCACAGAACTGTGCCTAGTCCTGCCCCTCACCTTCCGAGAGTTCTGGTAGATGCTGAAACTTCTCTGGAATGTCAGTGTGACATTTGGATAATGCTCAGACAAAAAAAAAAAAAAAAAAAAAAAACCAAACAGTTAAAAAAAAAAAAAGCTGGGCGGTGGTGGTGCACGCCTTTAATCCCAGCACTTGGAAGGCAGAGGCAGGCGAATCCCAGTGAGTTCGAGGCCAGCCTGGTCTACAAGAGCTAGTTCCAGGATAGCTAGGACTGTTACACAGGGAAACCCTGTCTCAAAAAAACAAACAAACAAACAAAAAAAAGAAACAACAAAAACAAAAAAAAGATCAAACAGTTTAAAATTAGTCTTGAGTTTTGGTATGACTCAGTTTCCCCAAATGTCTATCTCTATTAGTTATACATGACTTATTCTGTTAAGCCAGCATTTATAAGTGTTGGCTTGAGTTGATTCAGGTATTTTAATAACCTTAAATTATCAGCTATATATCGTCTTTCATCCCATCCCCTCATATAACTTTATCTTTCTGTAACTTGGCTTTAAGGTTTTTGGTTTTCTTTTTATCTTTCCTTTTCCATTTTAAAAACTTCAGTCATTTTGTATTTTACTATACAAAATGTTTTCTACTCTAAACTCTTCTTCCCCCCTTTTCTAAAAAGTGTAGCCTCATATTATCCCCTTCTCAACCTCTCTTACACACACACACACACACACCTATGCACTGTTTCTTTGTTATAATTAATTTTGAGATTTATTTACTTTTATTTTGTGTGTAGAGGTGTTTTAACTGCATGTAATGTCTGTACACTGTGTGCGCCCTGTACTCTCAAAGGCCAGAAGGGGGCGCTGAAACCCCTGGAACTGGAGTTACAGATGCTTGTGAGCTACCTTATGGGTGTTGGGAATGGAAGAGCAGCTAGTTCTAACGGATGAGCCATCTCTCCAGCCTCTGCGGTTTCTTTCCTATTTCATTTCTCAAAACAAGAGTTGAATCCAAGTTGCACACGTGGCGGCCATTGTGGCATATTAAGAGTACCTGCCCATTCGCACTATTAAGCTACCACGCTTTTTTTTTCCCCCTGATGCAAGTCGTGGGCAAGTCTCCTTATTGCTTGGATTTTTACAGCACCCCCTTTTTCTTGTCTCCCCCGTGATCTCGCAGCATCTGATATGCAGAGGACGTTTTGCATTCTGGCAAGAACCTGTGACAATATCAGTGACCTTGATCAGTGAACAGTCTTTGCAAGCAAGAAAAAGCAGAAAAGACAGTGCACAAAGACCCCCAAATCTCTACACATTACCCAGGAACTGCAGAACTGCAGGCGCATGGGTACAGATCCCCTTGTCATCCCAGCTGTTGATGTGTAGGCGCCCGGATGTCATGGGTGTCATTTTTCCCTTCACCTCCATCGTCCTATAAATCCCCTTTTATTTTTCATAAAAATCAGTCCTTCAAAACAAATATGGTATCGCGTGGAGCCTACTTATGCCCATTATGTGCTGTATGGTTCGAGAAATGTTCTAGAATGGCCATCTCTTCATTTCGAATGAATGAATTTATTAAGTATACAGCTTGATAGACGAATCGATAGAAAACGCCCAGTGGAAATCAGCCGGGGAAGTCCTGTTGAGGCAGTCAGCTGGAGTTCCCAATAGAAGGGGCCCTGGGCAGAGCAGAGTGTCCCCTCGGGAAGAGTGTCCCTTCAGGCGAGGCTTCCAACTGAAACAACAAAGGACAACTCAGACACATCCTGAGGAAACCGCTGGAGAATTTGAGGCCGTCAGCTGGCGCTCATCATTGGCTTTCCTCTTCCGGATGAGCTTCCCATGGCTGAACTATCCTCTCCCTCTCCCAGTCCAGGCTTCAGGGCCACCGGCTTGGACTCTAAGAGCACCGCCAAGCTTCAGGATGTCTGCTGAAGCAGGAAAATCAATCCGCGCTCCTGCCGGTCACTGCTCACAGGACAGTACAGCTAGGACTCTTCTTCTTTGTCCCCTAGAACCTGTTGGTTGGTTCCTGCTTTGTTTTACTTTTGTAAGAGAACAGTGAGGTTAT